CCGCGGTTCCCCCAATTACGTCCCCTTAGCTTAGCGTTGCTTATCGCATCTTAGCTTAGCCTAGCTTAACTTAGCTTAGTTTAGCTTAGCCTAACCAGCTTAGCTTAGCTTAGCCTAGCCTAGCTTAGCTCAGCTTAGCTTAACTTAGCGTAGCTCAGCCTAGCTTAGCGCAGCGCAGCACTAGCATAGCATAGCATAGCATGCCATAGCATATCATAGCATAGCATAGCATAGCGCAGCATAGCATAGCGCAGCATATCATAGCATAGCATAGCAGAGCATAGCATAGCATAGCGCAGCATAGCATAATATAGCATACTATCATCGCGCAGCATAGCATAGCATAGCGCACATTAGCATAGCATAGCATAGCATAGCATAGCGCAGCATAGCATATCATATCATAGACCGTTACTACTAATATTGCTCTCCTCGGGGCTCCAACTCCTAGGTCGGGTCGCTCTGGGATGATTATGATGATGCTGATGTTCATGCTGAGGATGATTATGATGATAGTGATGGTGATGGTAGTAGGGGTGATGAGGATGATGATGGTCATGATGGTGATGATGCTGTTGGTGATGATGCTGATGATGAAGATAATGCTTATGATGATGACGATGGCGATGACAATGTCGATGATGTTGATGATGACGACGATGACGAAGATGCTGGCGACGATAACGATTATGCTGTTGATGATGCTGATGACGATGATGATCACGATGATGATGAAGAAGAAGATGAAGCCGATGATGATGATTTTGATGATGATGCTGTTGCTGATGATGGTGGTGGTGGTGATGGTGATGGTGATGATGGTCATGCGGATGCTGATGAGGATAATGTTGAAGATGATGTTGATGCTGATGCTGATGCTGCTGATGATGATGCTGCTGATGCTGATGCTGATGATGATGACTATGATGATGATAATGGTGATGGCAATGATTATGACAATGATGATGGTGATCACGATGCTGATGATGATTTGTTGTTGATGATGATGGTGATGATGATGATGATGATTATGATGATGATGGTGATGATGATGATGATAATGATAATAACATTCGAAATTTCCATGGAGGGAAGCAGGTCGGTGTCGCGCATTCGGTAGGCATTCTCGGCCTCAAACGCGTTGCAGAGTTGACGTTCCCGCTCTTCACTGCTTCTCTCTTCTACCTCTTCTCCCCTCCCTCATCGCTTCTCCCTTAATCCCCCTCCCTCTTCCCGCTTCTTCTTTTTGCCTTCTCCCCTAATATTTGCTCCCTTGTTTTCCCTCCTCCCCCCCCTCCCTCGTCCCTGCTCCCTCTTGCGTCCTCCCCCACCCCATCCTCCCTGCTCCCTCGTCCTTCCTCCTCCTCCTCCATCTTTCCATGCTTCCTACTCTCCTTTCCCTCCCTCTCCCGCTCTCCTCCTTCCTAGCTGTCTCCTCCCTCCCACCTCTCCGTTCCTTCATCATCCATTTTCTGTCCAGGAGAAGTGCTCTCGCCCCTCTGTCCCAAACACTGCCCTGGCCGGAGCTGCGAGCTGTTCACCCTCCTCCTCCACCCTCCTCTTCGCCTCCTTCCTCCGTTTCCCTCATCCATCCCTCCTTCATTCCTCCCGTCTCCCTCCCCCTCCCCCTCCTCGTCCTCCCCCCTCCTCGTCCTCCTCTTTCTCTTCCTCGTCCTCATCCTCCTCTTTCTCCTCCTACTCCGTCCTCCCTCTTCCCTCTTCTCCATTCTCCCTCCTTTCCCCTCCCTCCTCCCTCCCCCTTCCATTCATGTCTGCGTCCCGCCTGCTGGCTATTCGCCAGCCCCTTAGGGACGCCCTTCGAGCACTGGCCTGGTCCTGCCAGCCAGCCCTCGGGCCCCGCGGTGCTCTTTCGGGTGGCCCCCAGCGCCCTCCGAGAGCTCCCGACGGGGCGTGGCGGGTGGAGCAGAGCAGGTCCGCCTCGTTCCTCCTCCTCGTCGTTCTCCTCCGTGTCCTCGTCCTCCTTCTCCACCTTCTCCTCGTTGTCCTTCCTCGACTTCGTCGTCCTCCTCCTCCTCCTCCTCTTTCTCCTTTCTGTCCTCACCTTTGTCGCTGTCCACTGATCCTCTTCTTTCCCTGGACCTCTCTCTCTCTCTCTCTCTCTGGGTAGTGAAGATCGTCCTCGTCGCCTCCTCCTCCTCGTAATTGTCGTCGTCGTCGTCCCCCTCGGCCTTGCCCTTGTCCTCCTCGTCCTCCTCATCTTCCTCCCCTTCGTCCTCGTTCTCTTTGTTGTCCTCCTCGTCCTCGTCCATGTCCCCCTCCTCGTCCTCCTCCTCATCCTCCTCATCCTGCTATTTATTTTCCTCCTCTCGAGTCCACAGTCTTCCAGATCGAGCCATTGGGGCTCGAGCGTTGCTTCCACTTGTTGCACGTCTGCTGCGCAAAACTGCATGCATACCATCCACTATGGCGACTTCAGCGCGTATGCCCATCACATTCCTGGTGGCACTGGTACTTTCATCGGTGGTGCCTGGCCAATGCCGTCGAACATTTTCTAGTGATGCTGGCCTTGTTGCAACCCCAACGGGTCAAGAGATAGTCGACGCGGCCAAGATCATGATCCCAATCGCTGAAAGCAAACTCATACTGAATGGGAAGGTCTTCAAGTGTTGCGTGCACTCCCGGAATGGAGCAGTGAATCTGCAAGACATGTCCGAGGATCTTCCCAGAGAGCGAACAATGTGCATGGACATGGAGGGGTGTGGATGCATGTTTGGCGATCATTTCCACAGCTACGATTACTCCTCGCCTGCTTGTGAAGTTGAATTGGGTTATCTCTCCCGTGTGACAGGTGAGTCTGCAGTGCACCTTTGGAGCATGGCCACCTCGGATGGCAAGCGTGTAACTGACGATTTGCCGCCAGCATTGGACGCTTGCCACACCACGAGGCCAGAGGGTGTTCAGACCCGAAATATTTATTCAAGAGGCTTACGCCATTCCGCCGACCCCCACAACATTGGATTCGGCAAGAGTCGTGCCATCGTGCCTGGCCTGTGGGTCTGGAGCCTCGGGGATGCATATGAGGCCTCTTGGGAGCCTCTTGGAAGCCTCTCGTGGCCTCTTGGGGGCGCCTAGAGGGTCACTGCAGGGCTCTTGGGGCCATCACGGCATGAAAGACTCGAGATGTCAGTTTGTGTTGCCCTTCTCGGGCCCTTCCTGGGCCCTCCTGGGACGTCTTCGGGGCCCCTGGGGCCCTCTTGGGGCTCTATTCGGCCGTCCTGGGACCATCTTGCGGACCTCATGGGCCTTCCTGGGACGATCTTGGGACGATATTGGAGGCTCTTTGGGCCGTAGTGGACGCTGTCAAGACGAAACAGGCGTGCATGTCGAACATGTACGTCTGCTGGCGGGAGTGGAGCGATGTTTGCCTCTTGGGGCCCTCTCGAAGGTCCCCTTGGAAGGATTGTCTCGGCGCTCATTGGGCCGTTGTGGGGCTCCCTGGTGGCTCAGGAGCGGCCTTGGGGTGCGTAGGCGAGCTCATGCTCCCCCCCTCTAATGCGATGTGTTGCCCCAGGGGAGGGGGACAGCCGATCATCTCGCATCATCCCACCCGCCTTCTCATCCCTGACAAGCAGGGGCCAGTATATTGCACTCAGGACCAGGGCTTTTCTTGCCAAGTCTTGACGGCAGGGTTTGGATTCAACGTGAACGTCAAGGTTTGGAGTTCGTATGGTTGCGGCTGTGATGCGACAGCCTTCAGGGCAGGATCATGGAACAGTAAAAAACGGCCTCATGGACCACGCATCTGGACGGCCGACATGTTCGTGAGTGGAGACGAGCCAACTCCAGGGTCTCTTGACAAGACTGGCAGATACTCCACGGAGGTGTTTGACGGCATCACCTATAGGTACAGTGAAGAGCTGGACGTTCCATACAGCACCCTGGTCGAAAATTTAAGGACAGGAAACCAGCCGTTCGTCCGTTTGAACATCTCGCGCATTGGGAAGCGAATATGGCGAAAAGGCAGACAGGTCTATGAACTGAAGGTAGGCGGTGACATCGAAGACGCCTACGGCGAACCACCGCCGCCCCCTGCGCTTCTGTACACGCGTATGTGACCAAACGTTGGGCCACTTTCTGGATCAGCTGGTGGACTATGTGTTTCCCCAGCCGCTGTGGAAACCACTGGAAACCTTTGGGGGAACGCGCAGTTGGGAAGAGGCAGAGGAAGAAGGAGGAGAAGGAGACCTCTTGGGAGCTTCATGGGGCTCTCTTGGTTCCTCCTGGGAGCCTCCTGAAGGCCTCTTGGGGTCCTCTTGGGAGCCTCTAGGGCCCTCTTGGGGGCCTTTTGGGATCTCTTCGGCCGTCTTAAGGCGCTCTAGGCCCGTCTGACGGCATCGGAGGCAGTCTTGGAAAACTCTCTGGGCCGTCTTGGGGCCTTCTCGGGGCGCCGTAGGGCCGTCTTGGACTTTGCTGGGCCGTCAAAAGGCCCTCGTGGGGCCGTCTGGGCGATACTGGGGTCTTCTGAGGCCAATTTGGAGCCCTCTTGGGCTGTTGTGGAGCTACCTTGGAAGCATATGTCAACACCGTAGGGGAACTCAATGGATGTCGCCTCTTGGGGCTCTCTTGGGACGTCTTAGCGGCCTCCTGGGCCATCTTGAGCCCATATTGGGTCGTCTTGGGCCCATCTTGGGCCATCTTGGGCTCTCTCGAGGCCATATGGTCGTCTTGGAGGCATCTTGGGACGGTCTTGGAGGCCATCTTAGGCATCCTGGAAGCGTCTTGGAGGCAATCTTGGGCCGTTTTGGGCCTCCCAAGTGCCTCTTGGGGGTCTGGGGCGTCTTGGGGGCCTCGTGGGACTCATGTAGGCCTCTCAGGGCCTCTTGGGCGCACCTCGAGGGCTTGGGGGGGGGATCTTGGTGCCATTTTGGGGCGGAGGGTTCAAACTGTCAGTTCGTGTTCCCCATCTTGGGCTCCTCTTGGGACCATCTTGGGTGCCTCTTGGGCCTGTCTTGGGGGCTCTTGGGCCGTTTTGGGGAGATCTTGAGCGCCGCATGGGCCGTTTTAGACGCCCTGAAGACAGAAAAGACCGTAATGCGAAAACCGTACAATCAATGGATTCTGACGGTTTTGGCCTCTCGAGCCGCCCTCCAGGGCCCCCAAGACGGCACAAAAGGCGCCCATGAGGGCTCCAGGACGATCCCCAGGGCCACCTGAAACCATTTTGGACATGAATGTTTCGACTCTCAACCAACGAGCTCTTGGCCCCCCGAGAAGTCACGCGGGGACCCCCTCAGAGCGCGCGGGAACGCCAGGGAGCGCCCGAGAGCGCCGAGAATTCCAGATTGTGGGCCCCTTTAAGAAAGAATGCATGCTAAGCTAAACGCGCAGACCTGAGGACACTCCAACTCGTGCCTCAGGGCACGGTGGCGGATTTTCATCATGCAAGCCATTTCGCAGCAGGTCGACCCAACGCTGACAGACAATTCTGGGCTGAAGGACCTACTCTCTCGCAAGATCCCAGAAAAAGACACATTTGGTAATACAGTCGCGGAGCATTTGAAACATATGCATTTGGCACACGGCAGGTTGGGTGGTGGAATCGCAATGTCGCTCCCCGAGGGCATGACCTATCGATGCAGGGTGCTTGCAGAGGACCTGGTCCTCGAAGCCCGTGGTACTGCTGTCATCATGCAGGACCAGTTTTACAACAACTACATGTTAGAGAACATCAATGCCGCATACGGGGACGAGGAGTGTGTCGAGGAGACGGAACAGTGGCGTCTCAATTACTGCTCGGTTGCCCTGACCAGACCAAGTTATCAGCCCTGAGCAGACTGCCCACGAGCAGACTTGAGCAGGCTGGCCCTGAGCAGTGCCGTATCGATTGCCGTATGCATGAGCACCCAGTTGACGATGTGTAGACAAGGGGCGTGTCGCTGAGCATCTGGGAGGACTGGTGGTCGCGAGGCCAGGCCGGATGGCAGGGTGGGGTCCCGCCCTCTCTTGGGGTGACAGGCGCCTGGCCTGAAGCGAGGATCGGACCGATGGGGCGGTGCGACCCGGTCAAAATCCCTTTGGGGGGGGCGCGCCGGTTTCGGCCAGATTGGAGCCCCGCAGTGGACAGAAGCTCCCGCGTTGCCCGCACTCGCTCCTCTGAGCGCCGCGGGCGTTGAGCCTTTTGGTGCCCTCGCGCACGTCCTCTTGCAGTGTGCTTTGGCCCTGGACTGCTTTCAAGGAGCCCAGTGCAGCCAAAGGGGGGACGTTCCAAGATCGATCCTGCCATTTTTTACTGAACTCCAGGAGCCCCCCAAAATGAGGAGCCTCCCAGAGCCCCGCAACACCTCATCAGCATCCTCTCAAAAGAACCTCAAAAGAACCTTGTTGGACATATTCCAAACGTCACCCTCATCCTCCTCGCCCGTCGCCCCTCCTCGTCTTCTTCCTCACTCTGGGTTTGGGAGGGCCCGGCTCCTCCACATCCCCCTCCCTGTCCTCCTCTTTCCCCTACACCTCCTCCGTCCTTCAATCAATCCGTCCTTCCTTCTCCTCATTCTCACGTGCTTCCTTCCTTCTCCTCCCCCTGCCACTGACCAGACCCCACACTGGGGCACAGTCCCGCTCGCCCGGAAAGTGGTCGCCTGGAAGCCGGCTCGCCCTGAACCCTAGTTGATTGCTGTGTGCTCAGCCACGCGTAGAAAGGGGATTAGGGGGAGGGGGGAAGGCTTTTTCGAAGCACCCTGCTTCTTCATAGAAGGCGCGGGCCTCATCTATAGATGTAGGGTTGGCGCCGTCTAAGAAGCAGCCGCCTTCTAAGAAGCCTTCCCCCATCCTTCTGCCTCCTTCGTGCGTGCCGCCAATGTGGGCCGCAGTGAATTGACCATGGACGTGAAACGAAACGTACCGATGCGAGTCTCTGATTACCTTCGCGTCGCGCATAACTTTTCAGGGAAGAAGAACAACAGACACACGGCAAGTGTGTGCTGTTGCAGAAAGACATGCGGGATGCAAGTTTCGTGTTAACAAGTTCTAGTTGGAGCAGGTCGTGCAGACACAAAGCAAGCTGTGCGCTTGCGTGATGTTTAACTGGCTGCCCTCCCAAATTTCGTGGCGCTCGCTGCATCAGTGAAGCAGCATACTATCAGTAGGCACGATCAGATGATGCACGCTCATGTGACCCAAGGAAGCGCACAGGAAATCCAAGGAGCCCTGGAGGGGACCATCATGGAATCCGAACGACACGCAGGGCCGTGGAGCTTCCTGCTACAGTGCGTGTTGGGTTTGCACAGATATCCCTCAGGGACCTCACGAGCCGCGGGCCCTCAGGATTCCCACAGGACTCCGTCATGATTTCCGCAAGCTTCCTTCGGGCATCCTTCCGTCATCCCAGGTTTGTTTCAGATCCTTTCGGGAGCCTTCGGGGCGCCTCCTCAGAATCCTGACGACCCCCGATGGCTTCTTCAGGATACAGTCGAATTCCTAGAGACCACCACGACAAGTCCCGAGGGCACCGTCGGAGCTTACCATAATCCTGCAGTAATCAATTGGGACCTGCAGGATTCCTCTGGACCCCTCAGGATTTTCGCCAGATTCCCGTGGATCCCTTATAGTGATTATCCCAATGCTCCCTCAGGAGTGCTTTCGAATTGTCCCCTGAGTTCAGCTGTATTCGCCAGGCCCGTCCTGATTCTCTCAGGATTCCATGCCGATTTCAATTCGGATTCTCTTAGGTTCCCCACTCCAGGATTCCCCAAGGGATTCCTTAAGGAGTACATCAGGGTCTTCTCGATATTCCCCTCGAGTTCCGGATAATGCCCAGATTCCTCCAGATTCCCAGGGACTTCCCTCATGAATCCTCAGAGTTCCTCAAGACTCGCTCATGGATCCTGTATGGGGTCTTCCAGATTCCCCCAGGATTCCGCTGAGATCCCCCAGGAATCTCCACGAGCCCCCACGATGATAATCCGACATGAATGTAATGTTATATTCAGGGAGAGAGAGAGAGAGAGAGAGCCCTGTTACCTGTAGACGTGTCTTCCTCACCCTCTGGGTTGGGCCATAGAGGTAGTGCCCCATGTGCGGGAACGTATGGGAGGGAGATCCTGTTGGTGTGGCGGCAGCATATGTGCGGACACAGGCGAGTCCTTGTGGGTACGGCCAGGTGGGATCGTCTGAATGGGGCTATATGGTTTGTTTTGTTGTATTGGGACGAACACACGCCGCAATCAATGAAGCCGCGAAAGGGTGAGTTTGACGCGTCGTCTGTTTCCGTTTTGTTTACTCGATCACCCGTGGGACCACCCGGAAAACCGCCAGCCCAGAGGACCGCTGATGGGCGGGTCGAGCGAACGGACCCTGACGGGCGGACCATAATGGGCGGGTCTTCCTCTTCCTCCTCCTCCTCCTCCTCCTCATCTCCTCCTACTCCTCCTCCTCCTCCTCCTCCTCCTCCTCCTCGAGCGGGTCGGGCAGGCGGACCATAATCGGCGGGTCGGGCAGGCGGATCCCAACGGGCAGATCGAGCGGCGGGCGGCTCTGACGGACGGGTCGAGCGGCGGGCGGGACGGGCGGGCGAGATGTGAAAGCGGGCGGACGGGGGCCTTTCAGGAGAGCTCCTTTGCTGGAGCTGTTCCCCGATAGACCAGCTCTCTCGCGGAAGCGCAAGGATGGATCGAGGCCCGTGGGTGGTTAGCCACCGGTCCCGTTTCCGTTCAACATCGGGGCATGCTGTCGCCAAATCAGGCGTCGATGGCTTGATGTTCAGCCCCGATCCGCGGAGCTGGCGCCCACGCGCCAGATCCGCGGATCTCTAGTCCATGTCAGCGCGCACCGGATCTTCTGCGGCAGCGGGCTTCTGATGCCGCTGCAGGCTTCGCCAGAGCGGAGCGATCCTCTGCGGGAGCGGTCTTGCTGGAGCTCTGCGAGGCTGGGCTTCTGCCGGAGCGGGCCTGTGCAGCCCCCGTGGGGAGGGCTGGGGCGGTGCTTCGCTGGTCTTGGACCGAGCCACAGCCCCGCTGAGTGGCTCACAGCACGGCTTGGTATACGTAAGCTTTGTTTGGTTGCGGGAGGGGAAGGAGGGATCAGAGCGGGAGGCTGGAGTAGGGAGGAGGGGGGGAGAGCGAGAGAAGGGCAGGGACGGAAAGGGAGAGAGGAGGTGGAAGAGAGAGAGAGAGAGATATTCGTGTGATATGCGTCAGCTGTCCGTGGCAGAGAGGGAGGGAGGGAGGAGAGGTGGATGAGGAGGACGAGAAGGAGGAGGAGGAGGAGGAGGAGGAGGAGGACAAGGAGGAGGAGGAGCAGCAGGAGGAGGAAGCAGCAGGAGGAGCAGGTGGAGGAGGAGCAGGTGGAGGAGGAGGAGGAGGAGGAGGAGGAGGAGGAGGGGGAGGAGGAGGAGAGGGAAGAGGAGGAGGAGGAGCAGCAGGAGGAGGAGCAGCAGGAGGAGCAGGTGGAGGAGAAGGAGTAGGAGCAGGAGGAGTAGGAAGAGGAAGAAGAGGAAGAGGAAGAGGAAGAGGAGGAAGGGAACGAGGAGGAGGAGTAGGAGGAGGAGCAATAGGAGCAGCGACATCGGACACGCTGCGGTCGACCCGAGGGCGCCTGCGAAGAAAGCTTGATCCAAAGCAGCTCGAGGAGTAGGAGAAGGATGAGGAGGGAGAGGAGGAGGAGGAGGATGAGGAGGAGGAAGGCACGGAGGGGGATGATGATGATGATGATGATGATGATGAGGATGATGGTGATGATGCTGATGCTGATGCTGATGCTGATGCTGATGCTGATGCTGATGCTGATGCTGATGCTGATGCTGATGCTGATGATGCTGATGATGATGGGGAGGAGGAAGAGGGGACGAGGACGGAGGATGAGATGAGGATGATGACGATGTCGGATGATGGTGGTGGTAATGGTGATCGTGATGATGGTGAGGAGGAGGATTGTATTGGTGATTGATGCTGCTGATGATGATGACGATGAATGATGATGATGCTGCCTGATGATGCTGATGATGATGCCTGATGGCTGATGCTGATGCTGCTGCTGATGATCTAATGGTGATCGTGCTGATGCTGATGCTGATGATGATGTGATCGTGCTGATGCTGATGGTGGTGGTGATGATGATGCTGATGATAATGCTGATGATGATGAGGAGGAGGATGAAGATGCGGATGATGATGACGATGATGATGTGTTAGATGATGATGATGCTGCTGATGATGACGATGATGATGTGTTAGATGATGATGATGCTGCTGATGATGATGACGATGATGATGATGCTGATGTTGATGATGTTGATAATGGTGTTGATGATGATGCTGATGCGGCTGCTGATGTTGATGATGCTGATGATGAGGATGAGGATGATGATGATGATGATGATGATGATGACGGTGATTATGATGATGATGCTGCTGATGATGATGATGGTGATGATGATGATGATGAGGAGGAGGAGGAGGAGGATGATGATGATGATGATGATGATGATGATGATGCGGCTGCTGCTGCTGCTGACGATGATGCTGCTGATGATGATGATGAGGAGGAGGAGGAGGAAAGGAGGAGGAGGAGGAGGAGGGGGAGCAGGAGGAGGGGGAGGAGGAGGAGGAGCAGGAGGAAGGAGGGAGGAGGGAGGAGGGAGCAGGGAGGCGGGGGGCGAGAGCAGAGAGGAGGGATGAGGGAGGAGGGAGAAGACAGGAGGGAGAAGGAAGTTTGGAGGAGGGAGGAGGGAGGAGGGAAGAGGAGGAGGAATAGCTAGAGGAGGAAGGAGATGAGAGGAGGGAGAGGAGGAAGGGGAGGTGGAGGATGCGGGCGGCAGGAGATCGAGAAGGCGGAGAAATTTGAATCGATCCCCGTTTTAGTGGAGTTTGTCGTGGTCAGCTCGGCCAAGACTTCCCACCCTTCCCCTCGCTTCGTGATGGCTTCTCTGAGTAAGCCCTCTTTTCCCCCACGGCCCCTAGGCTTGTCGGAGGTCCTTGCCCTGGATACTCCTGGACGCTGTCGCCTCTTGCTGCGGGCCGCCCACCCTGGCTTCGGATCCGCCGTACTTTAGGCGATGCCGCAAGTAGGGCAGAAATTTCTGCCCTACTATTCGAGCTCCTTTGATGCAGATGTCCGCCCTACTTTGCCGTCGCTGTTTCTGCCATGCCTCTGCGGTTTCCGAGGCGAGAACTTTCGCTTCGGCAGTGTCCAGTCCGCATGTAGCCGCCGGCTCCGCCCGATGAACTTCTTGGCTCGCCCGAGCTTCTGCGCCACAGCCCTCGTTGCCAGCCCGGGATGCCCGCTCGCGGGCCCAGCTGCATCAGAAGAGCAACGAGCGGCACGAGCATAATCTTTCGGAGGTCCGCGAAGGAGGAGGAGGAGGAGGAGGGGGAGGAGGAGGAGGAGGAGGAGGAGGAGGAGGAGGAGGAGGAGGAGGAGCAGGAGGAAAGGGAGTGGGAGGGATGTAGGAGGAGGAGGAGCAGGAGGAGGAGAGGAGTCAGAGAGGAGGAGGAAAGGAGGAGGAGGAGAAGGAGAAGGAGGAGGAGGAGGAAGAGGAGGAGGAGGAGGAAGAGGAGGTGGAGGAGGAGGAGGGGGGGGGGAGGAGGAGGAGGCGTGGACTTCTTCGGTCAGCGTTTGGCCCCTTCCTGGCGCGGAAGGCGCCAGCCGCCAACCAGAGGCTCCGTTACGGTGTCCAGCGACGGCTCGAGCACTCCGCACGGACCTCGGACTGCGTACAGTCTGCACTCTAGCCTAAAGACCACTGTGGATTCGGGAGGGGCTCCGGTAGTCGGGCCGCTCCGTGGAACTTATCAGTGGCCGAGGCTCGCCGTGGCCAGAACAGCCCCAGTCGTCCCTTGCTTGGCGTTCCTCGTAGTAGCACGACGGTTGTGTGTTTGCGCCGTTGTCTTGCTCTTCTGCCAGGAGGCTGGATTCACACTACGCGTCCGGCTTGAGCGGGAGCAAAATACACGTGCGGCCAGACGTCCCTCCAGCGCTTGGCCATTCTGTGGCCGTGCAGGCCAGGCTTCCGCGTGTGTGTACAGCGCGCGGCCTCCGCCGACGGCCGCCGCCGAAGGCCGCCACCGAAGGCCGCTGGCGTAGGCCTGCTGTTGGCCGCCGACGGCCGCCGCCGACGTCCGCCGCCGAAGGCCGCCGGCGTATGCCCGCTGCTGGCCGCACCTTCGCACGTGAACCCAGCGGGGTGTGCTTCCAGCCTCCCGTCACGGATGCCCGCTCGTGGGCCCAGCTGTGTGGGATGGGCGGCTGCCCTGGGCAGCGTCGCAGTGCCGCGCGCCGCGGGGGCTCCCGCGGGCGCCAGCGAGCTGGCGCCGTGGTACTGCCCGCCGGCCGACCCGCGGGGGAGGGCCTGCGTCCGGGGCTTCCGCTCGGGCATGGCAGAGCCCTACATCGAGGAGACGCGCCTCCTGCTGCTGGTTCTCCTGCCTCTGCTCCCCCTCCTCCTCCTCCTCCTCCTCCTCCTCCTCCTCCTCCTCCGCCTCCGCCTCCTCCTCCTCCTTCTCCTCCTCCTCCTCCTCCTCCTCCTCCTCCTCCTCCCCCCTTCACTCCCTTCTCCTGCTGCTCCTCCCTTCTCCTGCCTCCTCCTCCTCCTCCTCCTCCCTCCCTCCTCCACCACCTCCTCCTCCTCCTCCTCCTCCTCCTCCTCCTTCTCATGGTTCCTGGTAGCATGAGGTCCTGGTGGGTGCTGCCTCCCTTCTCCTCCTCCTCCTCCTCCTCCTCCTCATCATCATCATCAGCAGCAGCAGCAGCATCAGCATGGTCAGCATCATCATCATCGTCATCATCGTCATCATCATCATCGTCATCATCATCAGCATCGTCATCATTCTCGTCGTCATCATCATCATCAACATCACCACCATCAGCATCATCATCAGCAGCAGCATCCTCATCATCGCCGCCACCACCACCATCCTCATCATCATCAGCAGCAGCATCATCATCAGAATAGTCAGCATCATCATCGTCATCATCAGCATCATCATCGTCATCATCATCAGCATCATTATCATCGCCGTCATCGTCATCATCACCACCAGCATCATCATCATCGCCACCACCACCACCACCACCCTCATCCTCATCATTGTCATCATCACCATCATAATCCTCATCCTCATCCTCATCCTCATCATTATCATCACAATCGTCGTCGTCATCGTCATCAGCATCCTTTTCATTCTCATCCTCCTCCACTTTCCGCCTCCCGCCTCCCTCCCTCCCTCCTTCCTCCTTCGCCCTTCCCCCTTCATTGTTTCGCCTTACTCCTCCTCCTAATCATCATCCTCACCATCCTCATCCTTCTCCTTATCATCGTCGTCACCATCATCGTCAGCAGCAGCAGCAGCAGCAGCATCGTCATCATCATAATCATCACCATCAGCAGCATCATAATCATTATCCTCAACATCATCCTCCCCATCATCATCAGCATCAGCATCATCAGCAGCATCATCATCATCATCAGCATCATCGTCATCATCATTATCATCATCATCATCATCTTCTTCATCTTCATCTTCATCTTCATCTTCATCTTCATCATCATCATCATCATCATCATCATCATCATCATCATCATCATCATCATCATCATCATCATCATCCTTTTCATCCTTCTCCTCCTCCCCTTGCTGCCTCCCTCCCTTCCTCCTTCCTCCTTCTCCCTTCCCCCTCCAGCTTTTCGCCTTCCTCCTCCTCCTCCTCCTCCTCCTCCTCCTAATCATCATCACCATCCTCCTCTTCCTCCTTCTCCTCCTCCTCCTCCTCCTCCTCCTCCTCTTACTCCTCCACTTCTGCGCCCGTTGTACTGGAGATGGGGACCTGGCGCGGGGAGTGTGCATGTGGTTGAGAAGTGGGACAGTTAGTTCCGTAAATCCCATGGGGCCTCATGTCCATTCAACCTGGGGAACGAACCCAGTTGCACATGTCACTTGATTCTGAAAGGTTGACTGTGGTTTCCTAGCCGAGGCACCTGTACAGGGGCCCAGCCACCCTACGCACCACGCCGTCTCGGGTGAGAAGGTCACGGGCGACGAGGTATCCTCCTTGTTCCTTGCTTGCGTCTTGGGCAAAAGACCTCGTCTTAGTAGTACCTCCAGTGTCTCCTCCTCCTTCTCCTCCTCCTCCTCCTCCCCCTCCTACTCATCCTTATCCTCATCCTTTTCCTCTTCCTTCTTCCTTCCTTTATTCCTTCTTCCTTCGTCCTCCTCCTTCCTTCTCCTCCTCCTCCTCCTCCTCCTCCTCCTCCTACTCCTACTCCTACTCCTACTCCTACTCCTACTCCTACACCTCCCTCCTCCCTCCCTCCTCCTCCTCTTTTTCTCCTCCTCCTCCTCCTACTCCTCCTCCCTCCCTCCCTCCCTCCCTCCCTCCTTCCTCCCTCCTCCCTCCTACTCCCTCCTACTCCCTCCTCCTCCTCCTCCTCCCTCCCTTCCTCCCTCCCTCCCTCCCTTCCTCCCTCCCTCCCTCCCTCCCTCCTTCCTTCTTCTGCTTCTCCTCTCCCTATCTCCTTGCTCCTCCCTCCTCTCTCCTTCCTCGTCATTCTCCCTCATTATCCTCCTCCTCCTCCTCCTCCTCGACCTCCTTCTTCACCTCCTCCTCCTCGACCTCCTCATCCTTGCTGGTTTTCCTCCCCCTCATACCCTCCCACGCGATCATATCCATTGTCCCCCACCCAGGGGGAAGGGGGAAGAGGTTTGATTGGATTGACGCGTGTGACGATGGCATCCCGCAGCCGCTTCGGAGTGTCCTCCATTGGCTGCCGGCCAGAGCCCTCTTGAGCAAAGGCTGCGCCGGCCTGGACGGGGCCCGACGCAGTGGGCTGACAGCCAACGCGGTGAACATGGAGACGATGTAGACATTCGGCTGCGAGCGAGGGGGGGAATGAGAAGGAGGAGGCCCTTTCAGAAGGCGGCGGGGCTTCTCAGAAGCCATTCGACCTTCAAAGAAGCTTTCTGTGTCTTTGGGGAGGGCTCAGAAAGCTCCCCAGAAGGCCAGAGGACTTCCGAGCCTTCTGAGAAGGCCCGTCCCCTCTCACTTCCCCCCCTCGCGCGCCGCCGAGACATGGGCGCTGGCCGAACTCTCGGTGGATCTCCACCATACGGCGGAAGCCGAGGTCGACGTTTTGGGGGAGCGCCCCGGTTGCGGTCCGAGCAGGGGCCCCGGAGGGAAGCCTGTGCTCTGGCGTGAGGCCCGCCTGCCTCTCGTTCGCTCCGTTCCAACGAGGCGGCTGCTTCAGCGGGGCGTTCGATAAGGCAATGCACGGGAAGCTGCAGCAAAAGCACCCCTTCACATCGACATTCCTGTACATCGACAGCCTGTTGCACCACCTCTGTTGTGGCCTGGCCCGAGTGCTTCCCCGCTCTCTCCTGCAGCCCCCACCACTCGCACCTGGCAGGGTGGCGCAGAGCCCGTGGCCCCCCTCCGGGTCCCCCGACCGAAGGCTGCCCAACGAGCCGTTCGGACGAGTCCAGGCTTGGGGGGGGGGGGGGGGCGAGCGGAGAGGAGGCGTCAGGTGCAGAAGACGATGCGAACCATTGTCCGCGCCAGCGCGTGCCTTTCTTTCGCTTCGTTCTCCTGGTCGCATGTGCGGCGCCTGGACGTCGTTCTCCAGTTCGGGCACGGCGGGAAGGGAGCGCGGTCATGACAGAGGGATACAGGAGGGGGCAGTAGAAGCTGGAGGGGAAAGGTGAAGGACACATGCCTCCGACAACTCGACCTTTTCCAGCCGCTGGCTCCCAGACTTATCGACACCTTTCCCAGGGACCAGCTTTCTATCCCGAGCCGCTTTATGAAAAATCGTGGTGCCTGGAAGCGGCCCCAGGACGCTGAAACTGCCGCCGAACGAACCGGCCGTCACGATTCTTCTCGACGGCCTGACATGGAGGGAAGAAGGAAGATCGGCCACGCGCGGATGGGGGGTAGGGGGAGGGGGGGAGGCCTCTTAGAACCACCCCTGCTTCTTCGTAGAAGGCGCGGGCCTTATCCATAGGCGTAGGGCCGGCGCCTTCTAAGAAGCAGTTTCCTTCTAAGAAGCAGCCTCCTTCTAAGAAGCAGCCTTCCAGAAGCCTCCTGTGCGCGCCGCCAAGAAGACGAGAAGCACGTGGCAGCCTTCCACCCCGGGAGGAGACGGTCGTCCCCATGACTTGGAGGGTGCTCGCGGCGATTGACGAGGACCCCTCCGTGCAGCACCCCGAGAACTTCACCCGTCCGCTCAGGCACGTCTTCGAGTGGTCCTCCTCCTCCTCTTCCTCCTGCCCCTCCTCCACCTCCCCCTCCTCCTGCCCCTCCTCCACCTCCTCCTCCTCCTCCTCCCCTCCTCCTCTCCTCCTCCTCCTCCGGATGATGAGGAGGAGGAGGAGGAGGGAGGGGAGGAGGAGGGGGAGGAGGAGAGGAGGAGGTAGGAGGAGGAGGGAGGAGGAGGAGGAGGAGGAGGAGGAGGAGGAGGAGGAGGAGGACGTGTCAGGCACATGTCCGAGCTGCTGGAGGCCATGCGCCTGCTCGCCTGCTCCATACGCTTCGCGGCCTGCTATGCGGAACCCATGGTGCTGGGCCTCCTCAGGCGGGACCTGTGCTTCCTGGCCGAGGATCCGCAGACGGCATCTATACACCACCGCCGTTCCCGGCGAGGGCCATCCTGGGCCCCACGATGTCTTGTACACCCTCCTGGCCTCGGCCAGGAGGCGTACAGTCGGGAACTTCGGCTTAGCGTGTCGCGCCGCCGGCTCTGGCCCACCACGCCTCGGCGCGACACGCTATCCACATCCTGGGCTCCGGGCGTCAACGGCCCGAGATTTTCCCGGCCTCCCGCCCCGAAAAGTGGAGCGACACGCCATCCACTCGTGAGGCATAGCGCACGCGAAGTACAAGTTCCCGCCCGTATGCGCCACCGTACCTGGCGAGGGCTGTCTTGGGCTCCACGATGGTGTGTACACCCTCCTGGCCTCGGCCGCTAGGCACATGCACAACGCTAGGGCCCAGGGAGGCCCTGGCCAGACGCGGCGGCGGTGTATAGAGGCCTCCTGCGCAGAGGAGAGACAGCGGGATCTGGTGCCGTTCACCGGCCCCGAGTGGGAGCCCCTCTGTGACGGCTTCATAAGGCCTGCTCCGTGACAGATGGCCTCGACCTCCGAGAGGGAGCGGCGTCGGGCGGGGCTGGGACGGAGAAGTCGTTCCAGAGCGCTCCGGAACGCTTTCAGGGCGCGCCAGAACGCTTTAAGAATTTCGCAGTGCCCGACACGAGGAGGGGGGGGAAGGAGAAGGAGGGGAGGAGGGGGGGAGGGGGGGAGGACGATGAAGGGGGGAGTAGGAGGAGGAGGAGGGACGATGTTGCAATGAACACTCGTTCCAAGTTTCCTCTCGATGGGCACCGTACAAGGATTCATTTCCGCTGGGGGAAGTGCCTCGTTGGAAGACAACCGTTTGAAAATCTTGGAGAATGCTGTATCACCATTCCTGGTTTTTCAACGCCGCGAATCACCGTCACTGTTGCGCATTGACGATCCGGAATCGTGCCATAACATTGTTTCTGGGATTCCAAAACTGCGAATCAACGCAATGATCTCGCCCTGACAGTCCGATATCGTGCCAAAAGATATTGTTTCTGGGATTCATTTCAATTGTTGTGGACTTTTCAAAACCAGCGTGCGCGGCGAGAGCCACATTTTGAACAGGGGCCGCCCTCTACCCGTGAAGTTTTTCAAGTTTTCAGCACGATGGCTCGCGGCGCTAAGGCGAGAGCCACATTGTGAAAGCGGACAGCCCTCCATCAGTGAAGCCCTTGCAAATACTTCAAACAGATGCGCGCGGCGCGAAGGCGAGAGCGCCACATTTTGAAAGCGGCCCGCCTTACATCCGTGATATTCTTGCACATGTCATGTTCGGCTTAAGGGCCACAAGCGATTAGGAAGTCTCAGGCGAAACGCCCGGCCCGCCCTGCCGACACGCCTCGGAGCACGACAGGGAGGAGTTATTGTGCAGGCCTGGCAGGCCTCGAGGCCGGTGCCGTTGACCTAGAAGACGAGAAGGAGTGGGGGGGGGAGGGGGAGGGGGAGGGGGAGGGAGGGCAAGCTAGGTGCGCTCGCGTCATATCTGACGTCCTACCCCTCCATCCCATCCCACACCATGGCGTAGATATCCTCTCTCAATTCGCACAGTCGGATGTCGAGCAGGCCAATGATCGCGAGAGGGTACGCGATGCATGGTAGAGCACGGCATGGCATGGTGTAGAAGAGCACGGCAGTGCGTAGCATGCCATAGCATGGCGTGGCATTGCGCAGTGAAGCATTGCATCACATAGCATTGCAACGCAAAGCATGGCATCGCACAGCGGCGCAGAACACAACACCGCACAGCATGTCATGGCATGGCGCCAGGTTCCCTGGAGGGTAAGTGGATCGTCTTCGAGAGGTCTGGGCCGGTCTGAAGTCGTGGCTCCATGCCTAGCTCCTTGGGGTCCTCGAAAAGCTCCACACAAGGCGGGGCTGATGGAGAGCACCCGCTGGCTCTGCTTCCAACATCGTAACATCGCCTTCTCACTCAAAGCAGAAACGGGGATCCCTCTTGATACTTCCTGACGGCGACGACGCCTCAAAGTGGGGGGCTTCTGCGGCCCGAACAATCAACGAATCGACACCGAAAATGTAATCACTTCCGATGGTTTTTCGGGGGGGGGGGGGATTTTCAGATTTTGGGGCCCATTTGGAAGGGCAGAAAACGCCCGCGCTGCAGCGGGAGCATGATTTGAAACAACTAGAGGCGCAGAAATGGGGCCACCGATTCAGCGGGAGCAACATTTTGAGAACAAGCCTAAGCCTAAGCGAAAACCCATTTCCCAGGATTCCTGTGTGAAAACAGTGCGCGGAAGGGGGCCAGACATCTTTCGGACATCTTCCGGACGTATTTATCTGGTCTAATTGTGGAAAGGGGGGGGGGGGGGGAAGAGGAAGAGGGGGGAGGGAGGGGAGGGGTGGAGGACAAGCTAGGTGCGCTCGCGTCATATCTGACGTCCTACCCCTCCCTCCCATCCCTTACCATGGCGCTGATTTTCTCTATCCGCGGACGCGTGTCGTAGCGGACCTGTGGCTCCGCGCGCGCGTGCGTAGTGGGTGGTGGTGCGCGTGCGTGCGTGCGTGCGTGTGTGGTGTGCCTGGCTGGATGGTGCTGCGGCGATGAGAAAAGGCCCGCGCTGGGGCGAGAACGCCATCCTGAACGACGGAGGCCAAACACCGATCCGAAAATGAGGCCCACGCTGCAGCGGGAGCACGATTCGGAAAGATTCGGGAGCAGAAATGAGGCCGGCGCCTCAACGAGAGCAGCATTTTGAAACAAACGCGGGCGAAAACCCAACTCCCGGGAATCCTGTGTGTAAAAAAACAGTACGCGGGGGGGGGGGGCGGCTACTTGCAGGCCGCCATCGGGGGAAGAGGGAGAGTAGTATTCATATTGAGTAATTGTGGAGGGGGAGGAGGAGGACGAGGACGAGGACGAGGACGAGGACGAGGACGAGGACGAGGAGGAGGAGGAGGAGGAGGAGGAGAATCAGGAGGAGGAGGAGGAGGAGGAGGAGGGGATCCTCCAGAACCGCCGGATCTCAGAGATCCCCGATGTGCAACCCTGTCTGATGTCGTCCCGGCCCCGGCTTCGCTTTGCACTGCGGCGCACCGCTTCCGCACCCCAGGCGGGGATCGGAGGGCGGCTTCCGCGCTCCCGCCGAGCTGCTGCCGAGCCTTCGGGCTCTCGGGTCCTCCCGACGCGGGCGGAGATCAGTATTCGTCACGAGGGAAACGGACCCTGAGATTTTCCCCGTTTTCGGGTCCCGGGACTATCAGAAAACGGGTCAGGATGAAAAATTCGTCCTGGGGGAAGGCCCCGGGGTCCAGGATCCGTTTCCCTCAGGACTCGTTTCTCCCATGCTAAAATATGCACATGCACCGAGCGTGGCCCGGCCCGTCCTGGGCTCAGGACTGGCCTGGCCAGAATCGGTGTGTGTGTGTGTGTGTGTGTGTGCGTGCGTGTGTGTGTGTTTGCGCATAGTTGTTTTTCTCGCAGGCAGAAAAACGCTCGCAGGCAGAAACAGCACAACCCCCCAGAGAGATCCGACCCTGTGGCCTATGGTCAAGGCCTAAGGTCAGTCATCGCGGGGCGCGCAGGGAAACGGGGGGGCTCTCTGTCTCTCTCTGTCTCTCTCTTGTTCTTCTCTTCAAGGAAGCCGCAAAAAGTGTAGGTCGTCCCGGCCTTGTAAGACCGCGCCCGCCTCGCGTTTCGCTCATCGCGGCGGCCTGGGTTGTGTGATGTTTGGGAGGCGCCCTTCTCCAGGACGGCGGCGCGAGGCCGCGAACAGAACCGCGCGCCGCGAATCGCTGGGCGCGGTGCGCGAAGTTAGGCGACCTAGATCTTGGGAGGGGCCCACTTCCGAGGCGGACCCCCCTCGTTCAGGAGGGTCCAAATGGGTTCGGCTTCGTACGGTGGGCGTCGGTTAAGGAATGTGCCTTGGAGTCTTCAGACCCTGGGGGAGTCCTACTCAATGATGGCGGCAGTGATGTACGTGGCCCATCCGCGGTGGAGTTCAACCAGCTTCCAGACCCTGGATTCTTTGTCCAATAGTTCTTTATTCAATGCCCTCACCGGACTGTGCGTTTCGTAATAAGCGTGTGGGGGCGCCAATAGTTCTTTATCCAATGCCCTCACCAGACTGTGCGTTTCGTAATAAGCGTGTGGGGACGCCACCCCCGCCGGCAGCCCCCAATCGACCCCCGCCACGGCCAAGCATTCTGCCGCGCGACGTCGACCCCAGACGGCCCACGCCAACCGCCGCAAAAGCCAGACCCCTAGCCCACGGGCGCAGACAGGTTGGCGTTGACACCTGTCGGAATGGGGACCCCCCCCCGCTTATTGCCAAACGCAGAGCACAGCCAAGTCGCACAGTAAGGATGAACAACTTTCCAAGGCCACCCTTGCATCCTTGCCCCTTCGGCCCATTCTTGGCGACTCTCGCTGGCCAACCCCGTTCGAAGACGCCAACATGGCCCTCCAAGGCCCTTGTATCCTTACCGCGCATCCTTATTAGAGTCAACCCACATAGCAAGGATGAGCATCTTTCCAAGGTTACCCTTGCATCCTTCCCTTTCGGCCCATCCTTGGCCGAGTCCGCTGGCCGCGCCCCGCTCGCAAAGTGTCGACATGGCCTTCCAAAATCATTCCATCCGTATGGTCGGACCGAGGTATAAGATCGAGGTCGGCTCGGGGAGGGTACACTAGTGTTCGTTGCGCTTGTTGCATGCGCTTGTGCATCTTGGGAACGGTACCCTCGAATGCTCTTCAGGATGCTCTCATGTTATTGAAGGATGTTCTTCTGTCCTGGGTCCGACGGTCTGCGACTTGACTGTAAGGCATAACCCCGGCGGCGAGCCCGGCGGGAGGCGAGGCGGCGGCGGCATCCCCCGCGGGAGCCTGGCGGACAGCGGAATGCGGCCTCCCCGAGATCAGGAGGACGAGGAGGAGGAGGAGGAGGAGGAGGAGGAGGCGGGGGATGCGGAAGAGACGGAGGAGGAGGAGGAGGGGCACGAGGAGGAGGCGGAGGAGGAGGAGGAGGAGGAGGAGGAGGAGGAGGAGGAGGAGGAGCAGCAGCAGATGGAGAGATGAAGACATGGAGGGGGAAGAGGAGGTGGAGGAGAAAGAGGAGGAGGAGGAGGAGGAGGAGGGGAGGAGGAGGAGGAGAGATGAGAGATGAAGAGATGGAGGGGAGGAGGAGGAGGAGGAGGAGGAGGAGGAGGAGGAGAGGAGGAGGGGGAGGGGGAGGAGGAGGAGGAGGAGGAGGAGGAGGAGGAGGAGGAGGAGGAGGAGGAGGCGGAGGCGGGAGGAGGAGGAGGAGGAGGAGGAGGAGGAGGAGGAGGCATGGCCCCGACCTCGGCGTTCGTGCCACGCTCGTCCCGGGCATGCCCCGCGACCACGTTGCCGTCGATGGGGACCCCCCACACGGCCTGTGCGTGCCGGGTGGTGCCGGGCTTTCCCGTCGGCCTGCTCGTCCTGCTCCTCCTCCTGCTCCTCCTTTTCCTCCTGCTCCTCCTTCCCCGTCCGCCTGCTCCTCCTCCTGCTCCTTCTCCTCCTCCTCCTCCTCCTCCTCCTCCTCCTCCTCCTGCTCCTGCTCCTGCTGCTGGTCCTCCTCCTTCTCCTCCTGCTCCTGCTCGTGCTCCTCCTCCTAATTACTCCTTCTCCTCCTCCTCCTCCTCCTCCTGCTCATCCTCCTCCTGCTCCTCCTCCTCCTCCTTATTATTATTCCTCCTCCTCCTCCTCCTCCTCCTCCTCCTCTTCCTCCTCCTCCTGCTTCTCCTCCTCCTCCTCCTCGCCTGGGTTTGTCAGATTCAGAAGGTGTATCATGCCAAACACCCCTGGAGGACCAGTGCTGGGTCCGCAGGGGCCACCCACATGTCCCTCAAGGAACTTGGATGGGTAACCGTCAGCAGCACCACTTGAAGGACTGATCTTGGGGTGGTGCTAGATCTTAGGGAGGATGCCACTATCAAACAACTTGCTCGGGAAGCTGGTGTCCGACGGCTGTGGGAACGGTGGGTCCAGAGGGCTCCGCTACCTGGTAATGTGCAGGTACCACGAGAACCCACAGGTTATTTGATGGAGCCCGCATTTCGTATACTTGGTCAAGTCGAGATCCCCGACTCACCTCCCTCTGACTCCTCCGACTGTGGCGATGACGACGACGGCAATCGTACTTCCCCTGGTGGTGTTACTGGAGAACCGCTGAATCAGATCGAACCTCTTCGGACATCTTGGGCTCCCAACCACAAGGAGGCAGGGCTCCTTCGAGCGCTGCTAGGCGGCGGCATCTGGACGCCCGCTCGCCTGGCTGCCTGTGGCTGCCGAGACAACGGCGCCTGCCCTAAGTGCGGGCACCAGCCGTGCGACCTATACCACATTTTGTGGGACTGCCCGCATCTTGCCAGAACGCGGGACCTGCACATGAATGCTATATGCGTGGACGGTGTCCCGACAGAAGCTTCTGACTCTACGTTCTGGTCCCACTGCCTTGTCGGTCGCTCGTGTTTCCCACCTCTCACGGTTCGTGACAACACTGGGCGGTGGCACATACAATTCCTGGTGACGCCACGAGCGGCCAGGCAGGCAATGGGGATCAGACCCTGCATGCTGCTGCTGGCTCTGTCGGTGCTGATGTGCCTCCCCTTCCCGCTCCTGACTTCGTTCGGCTGGTGCGCCCTCGGACGCGGTCCCCCCCATTGGTCAGCCTGCGCCGCTGGAGGGCCGAGTTGGGGAGGTTACCTCTGCTCCTCTCGCCGAGAGGCCCTCTCTCGCTCGTCCTCGTAGCCCTTCCCAGGACTCCACGAGGCAGGTTCGACCGAGGGCAAGCTTCGAGCCCGTAGCGATCATATGGGATGGTGTTGGGGACGTGCAGGCTAACGCCACTGCCCAGGTGCAGCCGCCTCCCATTCCCAGCCTGTATTGGACCAGCGCTTAGGCCTGAGAAGCGCAGGAGGATGGATGCTCAGGATCGGAGGGTGTGCAGGCCGTCCCTCTCTGACTCCTCCGTCCCAGCCGAACCCCTCCCTGAAGCAGGCCCCGTTCCCGCTCGGGCCGCGCGGGGTCACCGCCTTTGGGTTTCTTCGGGCCATGTGTGCCTGTGTGTTTCTTGCAGGTATTTTACCACGGGTACGGCTGGGCACCTCTTCTTGACTGCCCGTCGCAAGACCCTTCGCACCCACCGCCTGTCGGAACGGGCCTAAAGAAACCGACGGCAGTTTTTGGCGGGCTACCATCCCGCGGATGAGCGGCGCTCGGACTCCAGGAGAGTCCCTGCCCCTCGTCCTCTCTATGCTCGGGACCCAGAGACTCGCTGGGTCAGGCTCCTTGGGAGCCCCACCCCATTGTTTTAAGGGGTCTAGTGGGCGCGAGAGCGGAGCACCTGCCTGCAGAGTGCTCCCCGCGCTTCGCTTTCCATAATACTTTTGTGCTCCGCATCCTCGCCGAGATCCCTGGGGTGGGCTTGGGTGCGATCGGAGTTCCCTGAGGGAGGCGTCCGCGCCCGCCCTGGCTATCTTGTGTCGGACAGTGCACTGCGCGTCCACTCCAGCCAGCGTCGTATCCTCCTTCTCCTCCTCCTCCTCCTCCTCCTCATCATCATCATCATCATCACCCTCATCCTCCATTCCTTTTCCTTATAAACACCTTCTCTGTGTCGCACCCCGAGGCCAGTTTTTAGAGCGGGCCGGGCGTTTCGCTTCAGACTTCTTCACCGTTTATGATCCTGAAGCCTAGGAGTTGACAGCAGTTTCACATATGGAGAGCGGTCTGTTTTCAAGATGTGGCTTTCGCTTTGGCGCCGCGCACATCCGTTTCAAATGTTTGCAGGAGCTTCACGGATTGAGGACGAATGGTTTTCAAACTGTGGCTCTTGCTTTAGCGCCGCGCATTTTTTTTAACTTGCAAGAGCTTCACGGATTGAGGGCGGCTACTTTGCACAACGTGGCTCTCGCTTTAGCGCCGCGCTCATTTGTTTCTAACGTGTGCAAGAGTTTCACGGATTCCCATGATCAGCGTACCAGAAATTGTGCTTTGAAAGGATTCCGGATTATGAGCGTGCAACAGTTACATTGGTTCTCGCGGTGGTGAAGTGAAATCCCAGGAATGGCATTCTGGCGCGGTTCATGATCGTCAAGGCGCAACAGTCACGTTGATCCGTGGCGTTGGAATTCCGAGCCATGTTTTGACATGCTTCAGGTTCTTTCAACAGTTGTCTTCCACCGAGGCAGTTCCCTCAGTGGAAATGAACCCTTGTAGGGGCCTATGATGAGGGAGCTTGGAGGGAGGGCTTATTCCGACATCGTTGATGATTCTTAGGTTTACATTGGTGCTCCTCCTCCTCCTCCTCCTCCTCCTCTTCGTGCATAGGTCACCACGAACCGCCTCAGGTTACGTGCGCTCCTCCTCCTCCTCTTCCTCCCCCTCTTCCTCCTCATCCTCCTCTTCCTCCTCCTCCTCCTGCCTTTCTCCCCCGCCCCCCGCGGCCGGAATGGGGACGGCTGTGGCCAGGACTCGGTGCTGGTGCCGCCGCGAACGCTGCCCGGTCTCGGGACACACGTCGCTTACCCAGTCGCGGCCGCTGCCAGTTTTGGGGAGGACGCTCGCTGTTGGGCATTGCGTCAATTTGCTCCGTCCTCATCATGGTGTACAGCAGGAGCATCCGATCCTAGGCTGTAAATGGACAAGTTGATAAAATGGAAGGAGACGTATAGCATGAAGAACGGCAGCACAGAGCAATGAGCGTGTAAGTGTTCGAAAAATATGCGAACGATCACCCCAAAGCGTATCAAGGACCCAGAAGCCCATGCGCACCACGGCGACCATTTGCTCCGTCCCCGATCCAGCCGTGGCTGCAATAGAGGTCGATCCTCGAACCTCAGTCATCGAGGTGGTCTGGGTCCGGGCCTCGAAATGGACCCCCAGACTTCTCCCAGTCGGACGGGGCTAGGACGAGGATAAGTCCGTCCCAGAGTGCTCCGGAACGCTCTCAGAGCGTTCCAGAACGCTCTGAGGAGGCCGCGGCGCCCAAGACGTCCTGCAGAGCCGCTGGAATTCAGAGATTCTCGATTCATTCTCACCCGAGTTTGTCCTCGTCCTGGCTTCGACTAACAGGGCGCGTCCGGCCAAGATTCCGGAGCGCATTCGGCCCTGGCGAGACGAGGAGGCCCAGACGAGTCCAAAGGCGCCCAGAAGCCCACTCGGAGCCTCGACGACGGAGCCCCTGGAAGGGCGTCGGGCGCCGCGCCCGACGCGGGCGGACGGTGACGGGGCGGAGGCAGCAAGCGTGGGGGGATCGAGTGAGGCTTCCAGCCCAGAGATCCGAGGATGCGATGCGTTCCATGCGGGCGCTCTTCCTCGCCGTTCCCGGGTCAGGGGGCCGTCCAAAAGATGGGATCCGGGACGGAGAACAACCGGGGGGGGAGGAGGAGGAGGAGGAGGAGGAGGAGGAGGAGGAGGAGGAGGAGGAGGAGGAGGAGGAGGACCTTTGGGGCCCTGGATCGGCGGACGTACGGGAGGGAAGGGGGCCCTCAAGCGGCCAGAGGCGGCCCCTATACACTGCCACCGCGGGCCCTCAGGGTGCACGGACGGTGCACCGGCCGTCTTGTACACTCTAGGCGATGCTCAAGAAAACCCAAGTTTTCGGCCAGAGTCTCGATTATTCTTAATGTTTCAATGTAAATCCTAAGATTTCAATCGAAATTCTGGGTTTTTATTCAAATTCTGAGACTATGAATTTCTTAACCCATGATTTCTCAAGCATTTCGCAGGGTGTAGGCCTCCCAGGTGGGGTCCGAGTAGATGGGGTCGGAGGATCGCGCCGCATCGCCGATGCATCGGGGGGCCAACGCTTGTGGGGCAGGCGGCCCAGCATGAGGGGACGACGAATGATCCAAGCGTGATGTGTGTCAGGCGGAGGATCGCCGCATCGCCACGCCGGCGTCGCCGATGCATCAGCGACGCAGCGCGATCCTCCGACCCCATCTACTCTGACCCCATCTGGGAGGCCCCTACAGTACTTCGCGTGGTGTGGGCTGGCGGCGACCCCGCCGCCGGCGCTCAACGTTGAACGCCGCTGGTGACCCAGAATCGGTCGAGGTTGAACGATCTGACGTGTCAGAAGCGGCCGATCGTTCAAGGCCGAACGATCCCCGCGGTGTCAGAAACCAAAGCCGAAGTGGGCACGACACGAGCCTGGCGTACACACGAAGCTGCCGTACATCGGTCCTGGGCCCAGGACGGGCCTGGCCAGGACGGGCCTGGCCAGGACGGGCCTGGCCTGGATCGGTGCAGGTCTGCATGTCGCGTCGTCGTCGTCGTCGCCGTCGACAAACTCCATTATCGAACACCTGGCCGAGGCGCGGGGACTCGGTCGCGCTGATGCGCTCGGTGGCCCAGCCGCTGCAGGGCCTGGTGCGCGCGGCGCTGCCGCGCGCCGCGCCGCCGGCGCTGGGCAACGGGGGCAGCCGCTTCGACTTCGAGGCTCTGGCTCGGCCTGTGGCCCTTCGCTGGAGTGGCCCCCTTTCGGCATCGGAGGAGGACCGAGGATCGAGGAGGAGGAGGAGGAGGAGGAGGAGGAAGAGAGTTTGCCCCAGTGTGCAGGTCTGGCCCCGGCGGCCCGGCGGGATGCTCACCGTGACCCTGCATGGCGAGGGGCCGCAGCGGTTCTAGCCCCAAGGTTTGCCGCAGTGTGCAGGTCTGTCGTCGTCGAGGC